TGAATTGTAAAAAAAAAAAAGCGACAGATAAAGAATTTATCAATTTTTCTGGGAATGAAAAGAAAAGGGTAAAAAAAATTAATTAAAAAATACAGCCTTTTAATAGCAAGCAAATTATCCTACCCAATACTTTTTGCAGCAAAAATTTTCTGATATATTGGTTTATGAATTCTTTCCGTTTTTTTTTTACTTTTTGTCTCTGCCAAAGCGTCCTTTATTTTTCTTAGCCACTTAGTCATCAAAAAATCCTTTGCACTTGTTCCCCTAGTTGATTGATATTAAACAACCCAAGAAAGCTTCAAATTTTACTTTTTTCTCCTCACCTTTTTATTTGCTACTGCTCTTACTACAGGTACGATCAGACTGGATTGTTACTGAAGGCTCCATGTTAACTGAAGCACAGCAGGCACAAGCATCTGTTAGAAAAAAACGTGTAATGTATGTGTTGATACTGATGGTTGCTGCTTTTATGGGTTCTTGGCTTCCGCTGATGGTTTCTAACTTGCTACGAGATTTCGGCATTGGTAATATACTACTTACATAGAAGATTTTTTTGTAACTTCTTGGTTATTAGACTGAAATGTTTCTTTGTTAGGAAGTAGAATGCAGAACAAAAGATTGGTTTAGAAAATAAAAAACTGTTTCTGTTCTTTTCAGCATCTTTCTTAGACCAACAGACCTATTTTAAACTTCTGGCTGCGCATGCCGTTGCAATGACCTCTGTTATTTGGAATCCAATGCTATATTTTTGGATGTGCAAGGCAGGTTGAGTTTCCGGCCTCATATTCTTTTTCCATTCATTATGATATATAGCAAAACTGTGGCTCATCAACAACTTACGTTCATTACATCCCGTATAATGATCTAGAGAAAAAAAAATTTTTTTTCACTTTTTTTTTCCTTTAAAAAAAAGGAAAGGTTTTAGACTTTTACACACGTTTTCTTCGTAAACGGATAAACACATAGAATTAGTGGCCTGAAATTACTGTTTATAGGGGCACAGAAAAGATCTAAAGCGGGATATGCTTTGGTTAACAAACGCTCGAAGAGGTAATCAACTAGGCGTTCTTACTAAATTTGCTCCGTCACCGTCTGCACATATGGTTTATAGGCGTCTACTGGAAAATCATCTTGTCTCCAATGATTATCGGTAAAAAATAACTCTGATCTTTCTGTAAAGCATATATTTTATACTTTTGATTGTAAGTATCAAAGATACAAAAAAAGTCCCTTATCAATAATTCTAATTTTTTTAAAGGAAAAAAACTTTGAAAAAAACTATTACTTCTCTATTATTCAAGTTAAATACGCTAAATTTTAGACGTCGAACAGTTGGAGACCCGGCATTCATTGCTAATGAACGAGCATTAGCAGAAATGTACGCTAACTGTTTTTTATTAGTGCCTTTAGTATCTATATGCCATACCGCAACACCGAATACGGCAAACAATAATAATGAACTGATGGAACCAAATGCCAACACTGATATTGACACAGTAACTTTACGGTAACAAAAACAACTACAACATCAAAATCAGTATTAACTTCGCTACTACTACTACTACGACGACTGTTCCGTTTCTGGAGCTTTCTTAAACAGCCAATTTCTGCAGAACAATACTTGCCAGTTAGCTTAGGCTCAGACCTAGCAAAAAAACTAGCTGGCAACATGGTATGAAGAACAGATGTGATGGGACTTCGGTGTTTTCAATTTGGTTCTGTAGAGCTGGCTAGGGTATTAACAAATTGTTACGGTGAAAACTACGGGTAGTAGAACTTCGCTTTTTTTCTCTCAGATACTCATTTGTCTGAACTGAGCGAAGCATATATTAGTTCTCTTTTCTCTCAATTTTGTTTTTTTTTTTTCAATCATATATTTGTTCCTGAAGTATGATATACACTTTTTTTTTTCTTAACTTCATCAGTATGGATGTAATTTTTCGTGTCTTTTACACTGAAAATTAATCATTACTGTTAAGTAAAATCAAATTTCCTACTTTATTTACTTATTTATTCAAGGAAAACAATCACATGAATTCTTCAGTAATGTAAAATTTTAACAATTAGTTTCACAAAACTTGTCTTTAAATTGTTTTTCTTTCTTTACTTCTTTGACCAACTACCGGTCCAAATATTTCTGAGTTGATTGTTGCTAATCTGTTATTGCAGTCTCAGTAGCCTATAAACAGAAACGCACAAATATTACAAATTTCTTCCGTCTTCATTCCTTGACTTCTTTCATTTTTCAAATGCGAAGAAAAACGCCTACACTTAAAACGTAAGAACTGGGTGAAAATTTAAAAATGAACACAATAAATAATTGATTCACCTACTCCACTGTCTACCAAAGTGACACATCAGCAGAACAAACTGACGTTCAGTCAAGTACCACATACCACCAGCACAACAGCTAATTCTTCTTCGGTCAACTCTTTACTATGTTTGTTCTGTTGACAACAAAAATTCATCTCCGTTGAACACGATCATCCAGATGCAAAAGTAATCACCAGAAATAACTTACTATTCCTCCTGGCCTGAATCTGAGCAACAAGAACGCAGCAATTCCTGACATGAAGTATGTTCCCTGTAAACCCTTTGCAGTCACTCCTCGAAACGTAATGATAAGCCTCACACAACCTATTATAGAATCTGGTTATCAGGTTTGGACGGGCAACTGAACACTGCAATTGAAAAAAGGGCTTCACTCTATGTCATACTACCAAAGCTAAAGAAAAGAAGATGAAACAAGTGGCTACTCTCCAGTTTTTTCCTTAAAAGAAAAAAAAAGTGATCTGGGATCATTTTTATTTGCTGCGCATAACGTTTAAATTAATCTTCTGTACTAATCAAAAATGAAAAAAAATTTCCAAAGTGCTGTGATAAGTGATATTCTTCATGTGTCGCGCTGGGATGAACACATAACAACAAATTCAAAAAACATCAAGCATCAAAATTTCGTCAGCTGAAGTAAACATAAAACAAAAATCAAAAGTGGGCGACGAAGAGAAAACAAAACTTTCTAAACTCTAAAGCTTCAATTTACTCCTTAAAAGTTGAATCTACACAGCTACAATGTACAGTTAGGCTTGATTTCACAAAGAAGACTAGACAAATTATTCACAGCCGTAGTACCAGTAGAGGCAAAACAATATCGATCGTTATTCATTTTTTCAACAAAAAAAATTATACACAATGAACTATAAAAACCGTAGATCAGCTTTGACCAGGAACAAAATGATAATAAGACAGAAAATAACTCTCTGCAAAACAAAAAATACCCTGCTGAAAGACGACTAATTAACCATTCTATTGAATAAATTAGCAGAAGCTGAAAATAAGAAAGATAAAAACGAGCAAAAATATAACAAAGAATTTTTTAACAGTTCAGAAAAATCGACAAACAAGTTTAAATGCACCTGACTGTAAAATTGGAAAAAATTACATGCTTTTTAGGGTGAACAATCAATATTCCCAAAAATTGAAATCAAAATACAAAAAAAATCAATAATAATCTCATTAAAATTCATTCTTGACAGCTGAGATGCAAGACCAGTACTGTTAATATAATGACGAAAAGGAGGTTTAAAAAAGTGAATTTCATCCCGATTGTACAGCATCAATATCTAAAGATTCTCCTTCCATATTATCTTGGTGAGCAAAATATCCATCATACAAGTCGTAAGCTTGAGCACAGATTTCTAGCGTGTCGTTTCTGTAATCACGTAAACAGCAAAGTTTTCACTACAAGAGTCTTCAAATTTGTAAAAATCATCAAAGCTTTTGAATTTTATTCAATATTACTATTTTCAGGCGAATTATGCACGAAAAAAAGAATAACAAAAAGCTGATTCTTTCAAAAAGAAAAAACAATAAAAGCTTACTGCTGCAAAAATTCAAATTTATCGACACCTTTCGCTTCCTCAATTAGTACGCAGTAGGGATTGGTACCCGTTTTAGCTAAAAAATTTGTACCAAAGTAACACTGAGAAGTAGAACGTATATTCGAAAAAGAAAAATTGTAAGATCGAAGATCATAAAACCTTGAAAAAAAAAAGTAAAAAGAGACTTTTATTTTTAATATTCTCGCCGTGTTCCAGTATAGTAGCAAGAGCGCTAAGAGCTATTTTAATGATGCAAGGATCCATTACAGTCAGCAAATCACATAAAGGAAGGACCGCTCCTTCACGGACTATTGTGGCAACCTGAGTACCACTACCACCTTTTAATGCATTTGAAATCGCCCAACATGCCTAAAATGACATGAACCACTCCAAAATCGTGCAAAGAATGCGCATAACAGAAAAATATTGAAGTAGTAATTAGTGGCGCCTCGCAAAAGATTAAAAAAAAACCTCTTTACGAGTTCTGAAATCTCCATTCGACAAAACCTGAATAAGTGGAGGCAAAATATGAGCATCTATGACTGCTTGTATCTGCTTTCTGTTGCCCGCAAGAATATTTGAAAGTGTATAACACACCTCTCTTTTAGTAGTCTCCTTGCCATTCACAAGCAACTTATGCAGACAGCTAAGTGCAGAACAGCTCAGTACAGCTTAAAAATAACTATAAGTTAGAGCGAACCAAGGGCTTAGTTAAAAAATAACAAATAATTTTAATGACTTAGAACGACTAATTAAAAGTGTGTAACAACCTTGAGTTTGCTCGTCGTTCCCGGTAACAATATTACCCACAGCTTTCAGAGCTGCAGTAGACACTCGCAAATTAGGATGCATTAACAGCTCCACCAATCTTCTAACCACTCCCGACTGCACAACAAATTCGATATTCTCATTAGGCCCATCACTCAAAAATCCAATTGCACGGCAAGACAATGCAAGCATACTGGGGTCCTGACTAAACAGCTGCTTTGAAAGGGAAGGTAATGTAATAGAAACCTAAAAATAAATATAGCAATTCCCAAAAGTAGTCTAAACTTTGTGAAGTCTATTGAGAAATTATCACCAAAAAACCTCAAAAACTTTTATAGAAGAACTACTCCAAAATTACACTTAAGGTATCACGAACGATTCACCTTCGCATTTCAAAACGCAAATTATAAAGAAATCTTACACAATACAAATTAAAATGACTAATAATGAGTTTCACAATGCACTTATAGTAGACCAAAAAGGTGCATAAACCTTATCAAAATCCGGAGGAGGATTTTTGCCAGAACAAAGGTTTGATATTGCCCACACAGCATTAACAGATTCATCGGTATTTTCGCTACTACAACAAGAAAATTTAAAATACCACGGCTTCTGGCTGGACAGAAGCAACAAAGTGATGGAAACAGAGGCTTCCACAGAGAACTTGAGAAGAAAAAAAAAAGACAAAAATTTCAAAACACTAACGAATTAAGTATCTGGATAAGAGCAGGAATGGCACAATGTTTTATGCATAAATCGCGATTGACACTTTTATCGCCAGCAATATTGCCGATAGCTAGTACACACCTATCACGCAACTCTCGATCATCGCTGCTAAAAACTGTCAATGTCGCTGTCACCTTCTAAGAGATTATGGATTTAAAATAACTTTTAAAAAATTTGAATGAGTAAAAAAGACACACAAAAGGAGGGAAATCAGGGTTGGAATAACACCAGTTTGTACAACAGAATCGGTATGTGCTGAAGATCCTGCTGCAACAACACCCAAAACTGAAACCGCGTCTCTTTTGAGATTAAGTGTTCCTCCTTCATGAATGAACTCGACAAACCGAGGGACAAGCTCTAGAGAAACAGTTTCCTCTATTGGAGCATTTCGTTTATCTAAAATATACGTTCAACGCCATAATGAAAACTTAAATAGATGCCTTACACTGCCCGTATGATCAAATAAATCACTACAAACCCCCCAGTACAGAAGCTGAACGCGCCAGTACTTCATTCACACAACTGTGCTGAATCTCATCATCCATAAGCAACTAACGCAAACTATGAAAGAGCAATAAAATTCCAACCTAGCTCAAGGACCTTCCTGAACGCAGCAACAGCTCTTTCCTGACATACAACTTCATCAGAAAACAAATCTCTTAAGTTTTCCTCGCTAAATACTTCCAGTAAGTTTTCCTGCAAAAGATAAATTTAAAATAACAATGTTGCTACCCTAGATAAGAAAAAAGCTTCATATAAAATTTAAGAATAAAAAATTACCTCGACATCTATGTCTTCTGCAAGTAACTCGTCAGTAAGGCGAATATTTCTCCTCTTATACAACTCATCCTCACGCTTTTCTTTTCTCAATCTCACAGTATTGTTTTCCCTGCGTTTCCTCATTTCCTCGGAGGTCATGCCTACAATACATAAATATATATAACACGACTACAAGAAAATAACAATTACGAGCCCCTACAGTATAAAGAACAATTATACACCGGTTCCACTAAAGCAAGTTCTTTTCTGTTTTCTATGATTACCTTTGTTTTTGTACATAGCACCACGTGTATGACAGCTCGACGTATTTTCCATGATCACTGACGGATCGTAATCCATAACGGTGACCGAAATCGAAATTCAAATTTAAAAAACTGTACCAGAGTAGACGTTTCGTATGCAGCTAAAAAAACCAAATGAATAAAAAGTAGCAAGAAAAAAATACCAATAAGATTAGTCAATCAAAACGTACATACAAGTATGTATGTGTTTATTTTATAATGTAATGTTCCAAAATCATAGTTGAATATTTAAAGAAAATATTAAAAAGGAAATAAAAGATGAGCCTTGCTTATTTCAAAATTAAAAAGAAAAACTTTTTTTTT